GGTGGTGGGGGGGGCGATCAGGAGTGGGGCCAGCTGGAGAGAGGGGCCGCAGGCGGTTGGCTGGCCGTCCCTGCCCCTGATCAGAGTGGGGGCCTCATCGGGAGTGGGGCTGGCCAGGGGGAGGGGCTGCAGGAGGTTGGCTGCCAGCCCCACCCACGATCAGGCCTGTAGGCTGGCCACAGTGGGCATCATAGTGACTGGTGGTCATAGCAACCGGTTGTTCTGGTTATTACAGCATTCTGATCGCTGGCTTTTTATATATGCAGATTAGGATTTTTACCTCCTGCCAACTAGGCGTGAATGGGCAGGGACCTCTTGACTCCCTGTAGCATGACTACAACTGGCTGAAGGGGACCTTGCAGGTGGCAGGCCTTACCTGTAGGGTGTGCCAGGAGCTGATGTCCCCTCTTCCATAGGGGGTGCTGTGATGACGCTGTACCCAGCCCCACCGAACGGACTGGGTGCCAGGGTGATCTGCTGTAGGTCAGAGGGGCCTAGCTGGCTCTCAGCAGCTACACCGCCCCCTGGCTCTGCGACGTGGAGGGTTACCACTTGTGGAGCTGCACTTTCTGAGGAGGGCTGCCCACCAGGGGATGCTAACCGTGCTTCCGCATCCTCTGACTTCACCACAGCCACCTGCAACGGCACAATGCATTCTGAGCAGGTCTGTGCCAAAGAAGCTAGTGTTCAAGGCTCTTTTCTATCTCAAAGCTCACCCAGGCTCTGGGCAGACCCAGTGCTGCTAGCACTCATTTGCACAACCCCAACTTTGTGTTCCTACCGAAACACAGCCTGCCTTTCCAGATCCCACCCAGCTACTGGAATTACACTTAAGAAGAACAGGGTAGAGCAATACTGCCCCCCAGGGGTATTGGGCAATGTCTGGAGACATTCTTTGGTTGTCACAATTGGGGGCAGGCGGGGTGCAACAGGAATCCAGCAGGTAGAGGGCAGGGATGCTGCTAAACATCCCAGGATGCATAGGATGGCCCCGCAACAAAGAATCATCTGGCCCACAGTGCAAAGGTTGAGAAATCTTGGGGTAGAGGGACAAGTGGCAAACCACTTTAAGAAAAAAAAATAAAGTCAGAGTGCGATCTTAGATCTCACTCCGAAGTCTGCTTCAAATGGATTAAAGACTAAATATAATAATAAAACTCTAAATATGTAAAGAAAAAATGTGGATAATTTTATAATCCTGGGGTAGGGAGATTTTTCTAATTATGACAGAAATATGCTACAAGCTACAACAAAACAAATCATAAAATGAAATCAGGAAACAAAGAAATTGGAGTGTGTGTGATTGGGATTTAACAATTCATATGAGAGATAAAAGATGGACTTCCTTTATATACAGAGCTCTTGCAAAGGGATAATAAAAAAGACTAACAACTTAATTTAAAAATTGATACAGGACACCTACAAGTAAGTCAGAGAAGAAATAAAATGGTCTATGAACATACAGAAGTTCAATCTCATCTATGATCGCAAAATTATAAGTTATGGCCATGAAGTATACTTCTATTACATTGAAGAAAGTTATAAAGCCTGATGGTGCCCAGTGCTGGCAGGCGCGTAGAGAAACATGCTCTAGGGGTGGTCATATAGACTGGCATATCTTCTTGTGAGGCTTTATACCTTCAGACCCACCAATTCTACTTCTAGGAGGTTTTTTGTTGTTATTTTATTTATTTATTTATTTATTTTTTTATTTTATTGACTTTCCACAGAGAGGAAGGGAGAGGGACAGAGTTAGAAACATCGATGAGAGAGAAACATCGATCAGCTGCCTCCTGCACAAGTGGATGTGCCTGCAACCAAGGTACATGCCCCCGACCGGAATCGAACCCGGGACCCTTCAGTCCGCAGGCCAACGCTTCATCCACTGAGCCAAACCGGTCAGGGCAGTTGTTATTTTTTTTAAATAAAAGGTTATGAGCACCTGAAAATGTATGTGCACTAAAGCACTGCCTTGAGTTAATGAAAAACTGTAAACCACCCAACCAATAAAGGAATAACGAGGTAAATGTTAGGACATCTGTCTGATGGAAGGATGTGGAGACATGTGGAGATGTTGAGGAGACCTGTATGTGCCTGTCAGGCTGAGGCCCCCACACTGCTGAGTGAAGAAAACAGGTTGTTGATGAGATGACTAGTGTGATCCCATTTTTTAAGGAACAAAAAGTCTGTTAGTGTGCACATGGACAAAACTGGAGAAATGCTTATTAACCTGCTAACAGTGGGAAGGGAGGAATGTTAAGAACTTTCACCTTATTGTAGAACATAATGTTCATTTTGTTTTTTTACAAGCATATAGTTTTGTAATTTAAAAAATGGATTATACTGGCACGAGAAGAGCAGACAGGTGAGTGTGTGTGGGAATCTAGAGAATGATAAAGGGGACATTTCCAACCACTGGGGAAAATTATTTGATATACTGCACTGGACAACTTTTGGAAAAAATATTAAGTTAGTTCCCGACCTTTCTGCATACACCAAAAATGAAATGAGTGAAGATTTAACTGAAAAAATGAAACCCTAAGAAGAAAGTCCAAATGAATTTTATATAGTCTTGGGGTGAAGGAGGCCTTTCTAGGGATGAATACTAAAGGCAAAAACGATTAAAGACTGATACACTTAACTATATAAAAATGTAAAACTTCTCTACACCCCCAAATGCCTCAAGCTGAATCCTACACCAGGCTCCCTCCTCCATGGAGTTTTGTCTGTCTCCCAGCCCCTAGCAGCATGTTATTGCTCCAAGTTATTGAAATTTATCATCTCAAATACATACTCTACATCTTTTCAAAAGGCTGGGAGACGGAGGCACACAAACTTCTCCCTGCCTTGTAGAAGTGCGAGGAGGTGCAGAGGGAGAGGAGATGGGGGAAAGGGGATCCTGAGCAGCTGGATGAAAGAGGGAGGAGATGACGAACTCAGGGGAGAGTGTGGGCTTGAGGTGCATGGGCAAGACAGAGGTCTGAGATGGAGACAGCCCCAGAGTCCTCAGGCTGTAGGAGGTGTCATGGATGAGGGCACTAGGTTAGGAGGGAGGCTAGTTCAGACCCACAGGCACAACAGGGTGGCCACAGAGCTAGGAGAACAGGACCACAGAAGGCATGGGAAGCAGTGAACACGGCTCAGCATTGCAGAGGTTGCTCGTGACTCTGGAGAATGGAGTGGGAGATCCTCTGACCTCCCTGCCCTCCTGAAGCCTCCTTGGCACAGCTGCTGCTCCTCCTGTGCACGTGCCCGCTGGGTGTCACCCACTAACTGGGAGCTCCCTGCGGGTGCGGCACGTCTGCTTCATCACTCTCCTCTCCTCCCCATGTCTAGTGAAGAGGAGGTCCCCAGGTGGCTCACCTGCAGGGCGGCACCCCCCAGCTCCCGCTGAGCACTCATGTTTAGCAGCAGATCCAAAGCTGTCTGTGTGGCCATGGCAGTTGACTCCTCAGCTCCTGGGTTGGTGGGACCTGAGACTTAGAAAAGGCTGGAAAACTGGCACCAACACCCTCCCCCATCTTCTAGCATGAGCCCTGCCCATGCCCAGTACCCAGGCTCCCACCCTTCCTCAGAGCTCACCTTGCTGGTAGATGATGGTGGCGCCACCCAGGGTGTCAGAACAGAGCAGTGGGGGGGTCTCAGGTGACTGGAAAGGGGCTACCTCTGGGGGAACCTGCAGGGTGGGGATATGGCCAATCCTGAGAGAGAGCAGCTGAGATTCCAGTGCCATGTACCGAGCACCTCCTTTGTATTGAGCATTTTATATATGTTGGCTTGTTTCATCTTCACAACCACTTTTAAATTAACAGCTCAATGTTACAGATGAACTGACTGAGGCTCAGAGAAGTGAAATATCTGGCTTATGATCTCACAGCTAGTGAGTAGCAGAATTGGGACTTGAACACAAGACTGATTCCAGAGCCTGTGTTCTATCAGCACATTGTGATGGTCCATCTTTGGGAGGCTACATTCTCAGCTACAGGACTATTTCTTAGCCTCTCTTGCCGTTAGGTAAAGTGTGGTCACATGGCTGAACAGGAGTTTCTGGTAAAATTCACAAGGAAGACACGTGGACAGATGGCAGACATCCTTTTTGCCCTTCCCCGATCCCTTCCCCTGCTTCTTGCCTAGGATGTGGCTAGGAAGGCTGGAGCTCCAACAGCTTTAATGAAGCCTGAGGCAACCACAAAGATGGAAGGGGTTTTCCTAACAGAGAGCTTGGTCCCTGATGACAGACCATGGAGACGCCACACCAGCCCTGGAGTGATCTTTGGACTTCCTTTACGAGAAAATAAACTATCACCATAATTAAGCTGCTGATATTTTCCCTATTACTAGCACTGGAAAGCCACCCCTACTCTGAGCTTAGGGTTGGCATGTCTATGCCTCAGCTGCCCTTTATCACAATCCAGAGAGGTAGGGATCACTTTGTTGCGCCCATTGTGCAAATGAGGATGCTGGGAGAGGTGACATCACACTGTCATCCTGGTGAAGGCCCCAAGCCCTTTCTGTCTGTTGTCTGCTTGGCTGAGCTTACCTCGCGAGGTCCTGGGGGGCTGGGGGTTGGTCCAGGGGCTACACTGTGCTGCTGCTTCAGCTCCTCAATCTGCTGCAGAGAGAAGAATGGGCGACGGCGGGAGGGGGGCTCCTCCGGGTGGCGCCGCCCCCACTCCTCGAAGCTGCTTGCATGCCGGCACCGTACGTGCAGGCGCAGATTCTTCTTGTGCCGTGTGCTGAAGTGGCAGTACTCACAAGCAAAGGGCTTGGCCCCTGTAGGCACATGTGGGGGATGCTTATGCCTACCCACCCCCTTACCCATCCTCCCAGAGAAACCTTCACCACCCCAAGGACCTCTCCAACTCCCAGATTCCTTCCTGAGCTCAGACAAACACATGCGCTGTCCATGGTGGTGAGCCAGGACAGAAACAAACCTGGTTCGCCCTCTGCACTCAAGCCTTCCTGCCAGTGCCTACTTTCAAGGTCACATGATCACACACTCCTCTTGTGTATCACCAGCTCCCAGGTAGACAGAAATCTGGTGAAGGAGCCCCTGACTTCCTTTCTCTAATCTTCCCTGGTGTGCCTGCCAGAGGGCTGGGAACCAAGGAGAATAAAAACCAACTGTTGTACATCTTCCACAGGGCAAGCATAGACTGATGCTGTTTCATGTCCTGAGGGCAGGGCCTCTCTAAGACCCGTTTCTACCCCAGCGCCCAGCACAGACAGGGCTCAGGGAACAAGTGGAACTCACTTTTATAACCACCAAGCGGTAGTTCTATTCCCCCATTTCACAGCTAAGAAAGGATCAGAGAGGGAAAGTGACGGCCCAGGGCAACCCTGAGAGCAGTGAGCTGAGCTGGAACTGGAGCTGAGGTTAGAATGGCCCCCGCAAAGGGGACTCCCTTTACAATGGAGGGGTTCCAGCTGCTCACGTGGCTGCAGGGGAGGAGGAGGAAGAGGTCTGACTGGGGACCAGGGCAAGGTGAGGGCTGACAGGGAGGGGTGACTGGCCTGACCTGTGTGCTTGACGGCCACGTGAGATAGCAGGAAGTCCTCGCGGAAGGTGCGATAGGGGCAAAAGCTGCATTTGAAGGGCTTGTCGCTGACATGGGACAGTTGGTGGTTCAGCAGCGCCTTCTTGTCTTCACAAACAAACTCGCAGAACTCACACTTGAATCTGGGGGTAGTCAGAGGGAGGGCAGCTCAGCAGTGGGGTGGGGGTGGGGGTTGCTGCAGCCCCAGAGGCCTCCCAAGGGACATACCTGCGGTTGGCGACAGCCTGGATATGTGTGAGAAGGTGCATCTTGAAGGTGTAGCGCTTCTTAAAGGACTTTCCACACTGTAGGGGATGGGCTGAGTTGGGTGATCACCCAGGAAGGCCTCCTGCCCCCACCCCTGCCCAGCCCGTGGCCCCACCTACCTTGTCACACATGTGGGGCTTCTCAGTGCTGTGTGTCTTCATGTGCTGTGTGAGTCTCTTCTGCATGGGGTAGACACGGCCACACACGGGGCAGGGGAAGGAGCTCAGCTTTGGGGTCTGAGGAGGGACAAGAGGGGGCCAGATGGTGAGATCTGGCTTCTTGGCCCCACCCCCACAGCAGCTCTGTAGCAGGCTCCCTTCCCAGGCTAGGGCCCCAGACTTACGGGATCTGGCCTCTTCTTCCTGGAGAAGAAAGCACAGGAGTTAGACCATTGCTTCTCCAAGCCCACCCAATACGCCTAGACCCAGTCTCAGCCCTGAGTGTCCCGACTACCCACCCAAGACCCTTTCTTTTAGTTTGCTGGGGGAAATGCTAAGAGGGTACTGTAAATAAGGTCTGCACTTCACTACATTTGGGAATGGTGTATTCTTCCTCTCAGTCACAAAATACATTTGCATTTTAAAGTTCTGAGAACTCCCACAGGAAAGAATGCTATTGTACTAGTCGGTTGACCTGGTGTCCCCAACCTTATTTGGACACAGAACTCCCCTTCCTTTTTATTGTCTTAAGAAAACCTGTAAGCACTTTGGAGAGCTGGCTTTCCCACACACATGGTTTCAGATCTGAGGACTTGTAAGAACTTTTACAACATAATATGTGGCCCAACAGTTGGATTTTTGCATCACAGCCCTACTTGCTGACCAGCCAGCTGACTGTTGAAAAATCCAGTTGCCATGACTGATCAAAAAATGAATGATGTAAGATAGGGAAACTGTTGATTTGACACATTTATATATATCAATATGAAAAAACAAAACCGATAATCTAAGTTTATAATTTTGTTTCACTAGCAACCCTTCTCCTTTTATTTTACTTTTTAAATTATTTTTAAATATATTTTTATTAATTTTAGAGAGGAAGGAAGAGGGAGAGAGAGATAGAAACATCAATGATGAGACTCATTGATTGGCTGCCCCTTGCATGTCCCCTATTGGGGATTGAGCCCGCAACCCTAGCATGTGCCCTTGACCAGAATCGAACCCAGGACCTTTCAGTCCGCAGGCCGACGCTCTATCTACTGAGCTAAACAGGTTAGGGCAACCCTTCTCCTTTAAAGAACCCTGCAAGTCTTTGGTTCATACTGAGGACTGTGTTCTCTGATTTGCAAATCATACACAATAATTAATTAATTTTTGACAGATCCACCTAGTGAATCCCTGTATCCAACCTCTGCTCACTGGTCCTCCTTCCTGTGAAGCTAACTTCCTGAAGCTGCAGACCTAATTTTAATTCAGCAAGCCATCACTAGGCTCCTAAGGTTTTTTGTTTCGCCATGTACTTGTCCTAAGTCTGCTCTCTCAGTACCATGAAAGATGAGTGTTGACCAGGAGTCTGAAAATCTTTAGATCCCCTCAACAATGTCTGTCTCCATTTTATAGAAGGGAAATGAAAGCTTGGAGCAGGGAAGAGACTAAAGAAGGAACCTCAAGGCCCTGCTCCTGCTCTGTCTGAGTCAAGTGATCAGGGATAAATCGCCTTGCCTTCCCACTGTCTATAATGTGCTGTGAATGGGCCTGGCCCTGAGCTGGTACTAACTGGAACCACTGTTATTCTGAGCTCCCACTTCCCCACCCTGTCCCCGTTCCACCCACAGCCACTGACCGGTCCCGGCTGTGCACGGCTGCATGCCGGATGACGTCTTTCCTGTAGACACTGGTGTAGCTGCATTCATCACACTTGTAGGGCTTACTGCCTACATGGTTGAACATGTGCTCCTGGGAGAGAGGCATAGGGATAGTGGATTGGGGCTCAGATTCCCCTCCTGCCACACCTCACCTGTGCCCACAGCTCTAGAATTGCTGTGGGAGCAGGCTCGAAGAAAGAGGGAGTGCTGCCAGCGCTGGGGCCTGTGAGGGCTGGGGACCCACCCCAACAAGCAGACCTGCTCTGCACCAGGCCCTGTTCTGCTGACCACTTGATAGAGGAGGAAACAGGCTCAGACAGAAGTGACTTGCTGAGATCCCACAGTGACCTTGTGAACTTGAAGTTGAACGCAGGCAGCACAACTCCACAGCCTATGCCCTCCCCACTGCAAGATGGGGTAGCCACCCCTGCCCTCACCATTGGGTTTCCAGAGAAAACTTCCAGGTCAAAGGTCCCTGTCTGAGGAAGCACTGTGTGCAGAAAGCACAGGGGCTCTGGCTATTTTTCCTTGAGGACCCCCCACCCCCAATGATGGCCAACTTGCTGCCTCACTTTGGTCCAGCCAAGCTGTGGTTCCTTGGTCAGTAAAATGGGATTGTTGACACCTACCAGGGACCTCCTCGGGCTGCCCCAAGATGAAATGAGTGGCCTGCAAGGCCTGGGCCCCTCTCATGAGACACATTACTGCCATCTGCTGGAAAACTTCCTAACACACTGAATTAGATAAAACCAACTTTACTGCCACCTGCTGGCAATGGTGGTGAACGAGCAAATCTATGAAGTCCACTACACAAACAGCACACCTGAAGATGCCATGCTGCTGGGCAGTGTGTGATCTGCAAAACCGCCCGTGGCAGCCCAGACACGTGCCCCGTGAAACAGCAGGAGAGGGTGCCTGGGAAGGCCCTCTACCTCCACTCCCTCTTGGTGCCACCAGGCTTTTTGCCTTCTCTCATCCAGCTTCCCTTCCTCCCGTGCCCTGTGCCTTCCCCTTCCCCTTCCCAGCTACTCCCCTTCCAGCTGCAGCGCACCTTGAGCGAGGACCAGCGGCGTGAGCGATAGCTGCACTGAAGGCACTTGAAGAGCTGGGGGTCTCCGGCCTCGTGGGAGTTTACATGAAAGCGCAGGTCCTCGTGGGACAGGAAGCGGGAGCCGCAGATGCGGCACAGGAAGGGCCTCAGAAGCGGCTTGGGTGACTTGTAATAATACCTGCCAGGAGGGTGTTGAGGAGAGGTCTGGCTGGGCTGGGGCTGTCTGGCTGCGTCCCTGACCCCCATCTCTGTTCCCCTTACTTGCGGTATTTCTTGCCTAGGAAGCGCCTGGAGGGTCGGCCACGTCGGCGGGGTGGGGTGTCGGGCTCCTCCTGGTAGGTGGGTGCTGCGTTCTCTGCGTGCGACTGGCTCACATTGGGCTCCACAGGAACCCTATCGGCTTTGCCCACGGCCACCAGGTGTCCTGGGCCTGAGGAGCTGGGTACCTCGGGGTCCTGTGGCTCTGGAGGGCTCTGTCCACTCTGGGAACTCACTAGAGGCTCTCCTTCCATACCTGCCACAGACATGCCAGATCACAGATCAGCTACAACACACCAGGACAGATGTGGACAGGTGTGACACAGGCCAGCCAAATATTTCCCCACACACACGGCCACCATCCACTAATGGGCATGCCAGGTCACAGCACAGATGCAGCCCACAGGTGGTTAGAGTGCAGCACAGCACGACGTAAGTGTGACCGTCAGGGGCAGCAGTCAGAGACCGGGGGACCTATCAGTCAGGAGACCTGCGTGCTAGGTTCAGCTCTGTCACTGACTTGCTGTGTATCTTTAGGCAAAGCCAGTCCCTCTCTGTGTCTCATTTTCCCCATTTGGCAAATGAAGATGATAATTGCTTATCTAGTGACCTCATGAGAACATTCTAGTCTGGGAAGCAACAGCAGCACTTTAACATTGGTTTCTCTAGGGTGGCTGGAGGGCAGACAGGAGTGTTATATATTCAAACACATCAACAATATCTCAATACAATGTTTTAAAAATTAAAAATGATACAAACAATGCTGGTAACATTCTGTTTCTTAATTGGGGTGCTAGGTTATACAGGTGTGTTCACTTTGAAAATTCACGCCGAAACCGGTTTGGCTCAGTGGATGGAGCGTCAGCCTGTGGACTGGAGGGTCCCGGGTTCGATTCCGGTCAAGGGCATGTGCCTTGGTTGCGGGCACATCCCCAGTGGGAGATGTGCAGGAGGCAGCTGATCGATGTTTCTCTCTCGTCGATGTTTCTAGCTCTCTATCTCTCTCCCTTCCTCTCTGTAAAAAGTCAATAAAATATATATTAAAAAAAAATAAAAGAAAATTCACTGAGTTATGCACTTTAGGTGTGCTTTTCCAAACATATATCTCAGTAAAAAGTTATTTTAAAAAGAGACTAAAAAATAAAACAATTTCCTCCAAACTGCATGTACAAAGACAGCTACCATGTGCCTTTTTGTGTATATTTATGCCTCAAAGCAATCCTAAGACAGGTGCCATCACCTGCATTTACAAAAAGGGGATTCGAGAGGCGAAGTAACATGCTACAGGTCACACAGCCAGTAAATGGCAGAGCTGGCATGAATGCCCATGAGGTGCCCCAGGCTGTGATGCTCTAAGCTTGTGCTCCTTGGACAGTCTCAGGCCTCAACTTTGTTGTTATTTCAATAATAATACTTAAAACTTATCTTATTAGTTCAGCTATAAAGACTCAACCTCCTCCTGCTCTGTGACAACGTACCACCGAACAGTCTTTTCATAAAGCTGAGGTACCTTTTCTTAACTCAGGGTTTCTCAAGCCTGGTCTCAGAGGGATTTCCCCTTTATCAGGAGGCCAGCCGGCCACCCTGGTTTGAGCCATGCTGCTCTGCACAGTACACTGTCCCCAGGACTCCACAGAGGCAAGCAGGAAAGGAGGTCACCCCTCAGCCTCACCCTCAAGGCCCCTTCCACGACCAAGTCTCACCCTCTGGGAGGTCTGAGGGCTCCAGGCAAGGCAGCTTCCGGGGCCGGCCAGGCCTCCTTCGGGGTCTCAGTGTGCTGGGAGTGGGGCGCTGAGGCCGCAGCTGTCGGCCGCGGGGCTCATCCTCTGCTGGATTGTAGTCACTATCCTCTGTGGGGACAGTGAGAGAAGGTGGGCATCAGGCTGGACCCACCCTTTCAGCTCTGATCCCTTGCCCTGCTCTCCCGGAAAGAGGCCCACTTCCCCATCCCTGCCCACTCCTCCTTCATGCCCACCAGTGATGCCTCCTCCAGACAGCCCTCCCCATGGCTGACTGTGCACATCCCTTTCCAGGCTCCTGCAGTCCTTCCTCTGCACCTTTCCTGACACCTACCATTGGCTTATACAGCACTTTGACATGATTTAGAAAAAGGCACCACTTCCTAAGGACACTTTACAGACACTGTTAAGAAATAGTTGAAATAAACATTCAAGTCTATAAACGCTATGACTGTGCAAGATACAGTCTATGAAAATGCAGATGCTATTGGCTGAATGTGGCTATCGAGCCCCTGAAATGTGCCTAGCCTAAACTGAGGCATAGTGTAAAATACACACTAGATTCTAAAAATCAGTATAAAAAAAAAAGAAGGTAAAACAACTAATAATATTTTATAATGATTGCAAGTTGAAATAATATTTTAGATATATTGGGTAAATAAAATATACAATTAAACTTAATTCCACCCTTTTTTACCTAAAATATATATATATCTCTATCTATCTATCTATCCCTGGCCAGTATAGCTCAGCAGTTAGAGTGTCAGCCTGTTTTGATTGCTGGTTGCCTGTTCATGTTCATTCCCCAGCCCATCTCTCTCACATCGATGTTTCTTCTCCCTGTCTCCTCCCGATTCTCTCTAAAAATCAATGGAAGAAATATCCTCAGGGGAGATTAACCAAAAATGTCTACAAAAAAGAAAAGTACATATGTGGTTTGCATTCTGTTTCTGTTGGATAAATGTGAATGTGGCCCTCTTAGTTGTGATTGGTGCTTTTTCAGTGCACAGCCTACACAACTACACACAGAGGTTCTGATCCCAGCACCCAACTCCTCTGTCTTATACGGAAGCACCTGTGGCTGCATCTGTGCCAATTCTGTTTTCCTGGCTCTCCATGAGGGCCAGAAGGAGCCCAGTATTTGTTGATGGGGGTGGAGGTAGCAGACCTGGGAGCCATGTGGCCTACCCTCTAGGTCATCAATGGCACCGGCATCTACAATGTCATCATCGTCTTCCTCCTCTGGTGCCTCTTCCTCTTGGGTCTTGGTCGAGGTACCCCACTTCCGTGGACGTCCCTTCTTACCAGCTGCTGCTGCTGCTGCTGCTTGGGGTGGGGGGGAGGTAAGACAAGCTTCCATGTCTGCCTCTCAGCACCCCATCCCCACCTATGCAGTCCCAGCCAGCTAGGCTGCTATCAACGTACCTGGACGGAAGTGCCGCTCCCGCATATGGCGTAATAGTGTGGCCTTAGTGCTACTCCGGTACTGGCACATCTTGCACTTGAACTGCTGTACTACCACCACCTCCATCATGGCCTCCAGGCTCTGTAGATCTGGCTCCTCGGTGCCAGAGGCTGGGGGAGGCTGTGCTGGGGAGCTGGGTGAACCCCGTGCCTCCTCAGATGGCTCCAGGCATGTGGATGTGGATGTGGGGCCGTCGGCTAGGGCCTCAATGGCTGCCAGGCTGTGGACTAGGGTGGAACTGGACATTGGCGATGCTATGGAGGCACCTGGGGGTTGGTGAGGGAATCAGAGGGAAGGGAAATGGAGGGGCAGGCTGGCCATGAGCTACAGCTGTCCCTCTCAGGCAGGCCCAGGGATCCTACAAGCCAACTCCCTACAAGAGTAACAGTGGGGAAACTGAGGCCAAGAGCAGTGGCTAAACTGGCCAGATCACACAGTGAGTTTGTGGCTAAGCCTTCCTCTCCTAGTCCAGCCCACTGCAGGGCTTCCTGGGTCTGGAGCCTGGCGTCTTACCATCATCTGGTCCCTGCAGGATCAGGTACTGTGTGGTCTCGGCCCCACCATCCTCAGCACTGGTTACAGTTATGCAGCCTAGAGAGAGATGTGGGGAGGGAATTCCCAGCTGACAATGACAATTGTCATTGCCCACATTCATTCTGGCTCACCTGTGTGACCTCAAACCAGCTGCATCATCCCTCTGAGCCTCAGATGCCTACCCCCTCCCCATCCACCTAGGGCAGGGCTATTGGAAAGCCTGGTTTGTATGCCATGATGACCTAGTCATACAGATGCCATGGCTATCCCCGCTGCCCCACCTTTGACCACTAAACCTGGAGTCCCCCTCCTTCCTCTCTGAACCTCCCCAAGGTTAAGGCCCGCTTCCAGCCCCAGTTCCTCAGGGCTGGCTTTCCAGACCATCCCAGGGCTTTTCCTTTACACGCATCATTAGTAGCAGGTACCGCTTGGGAAATCATGAGCTCTGGAATCAGACTGTCTGAGCTCATGGCCCAACAGTTGCTAGTGACAGTGGGTAAATTATTTTACATCCTCTGTTCCTCAGATTTCTCATCTATACTGCAAGGATCATAATAGCACCTACGTTTTGGGGTTCCTGGGAAGATGAATGAGCTACTGAATATAAAGTGTTTAGAACAGACCTCAGTATAAAGTTAGGTGTTACTGTTTCTGTATTTAAGGAGCACTTATTACATGCCAGACACTATGCTAAGAACTTTACTGTGCTGCCTCATTAAATCCTCACACCATTTTACTGCTATGAGGCAGGAGTTACTGTTGCCATGTGACACACTCAGAGTGGGAGAGTTATTTTCCCGGGTTTGCACAGCTGGGATAAGCAGAGATGGTTCTTCTGGACTCTGCAGGGAAGCCCCAGGGGGCTGACTCTTGCCACCCTCTTCCTGACTTACTCTGGATGAGGTCTGGCCCAATGGTGGACTCGATGATCTTGTCAAAGGCTGAGCCCAGGTCTGAGGAAGAAGCCGTGCAGTCGGACACCAGCATGTTGGGGTCTGGGAGTGCGCTGGAGTGCACGAGAGTTTGGGGGCCACCTGTCACCCCTGCCACTGGCCCATGGGACACAGAAGATGAATCAGGGAGGTAGCCATGGGGCAGGGGGTCCGTGCTTGAGCTGCTCTCAGATACCTCCTCCTGGGGGATAGGAAACAGGGAAAGAGGGCATTTAGGAGCCAGGGATGGGGCAGGGCAGGCTGCCACCTGCTAGGTAGAGCTCCTAGGCCCAAGGACATGGTGAGCAGAGTTACCCACACCCTCAGCCCCACTGAGTACTAGTGAGAGAAGCCCTCTGGTTGCAGAGCTCCCCAAGAACAAGTCCCAGGCACCTGGCTCTGGTCAGATGAATGGCCCCACATACCCCACACAACAGCCAGGCACAGCTATTTCCACTGCACTTCTGAATAAGCTATTCCCACTGCCTGAAAGGCTTCCCAGCATCACACCACAGCTACATCCTACCCAGCTTGCTCCCCGCCATTTAGCTGGTACCTCTGCTTGGAGGCTGACCCTGACCTGAAGGCCAAGTTAGGACCTCTCCGTCTTCAGTGCTGCAGTCGCCTGTGTCCCCACATCACATCACCATTTACTGTGTAGTGTAACACCTCCCAGGTCTGACTGTACCCTCTATAAGGGCTGGGGCCACATCTGTCTTGTTCCTGCTGTATCACCAGGATCCAACCCAAGCTGGGCACATGGTGGGCCTATCTCTGCTGAATTAATGAAACCCTGGACCCCAAAGGGGGGCCATTGTTGTGCACCTCTATAATGTGATGTCTTGAAATTGGTCACTGTCTTGCAGAAAACAACAACAGTAATGGCTAATACTTGAGTGTTTATCATGTGCTAAGCACTGTTTTAATAGCTTTGCAACTGTTAATTCATTTAATCCCTACAAAAACCCTATTGAGGTAGGTATATTCATCATTCCCACTTTCCAGGTGAGAAAACTGAGATCAAGAAATTGGGCAGCTTGCTGAAGATCACACTAGGGAGGGGGGTGGGGAAGTGGCCGAGCCGGGAGGAAATGGTCTTACAAAGTGTTTCCAAGAGAATGTCTGGCGGGAGCTCAAAACAGAGCACGCCCAGAAGAAGGCATTCCTGCTCCGTTTTACAGACAGGCAGACTGAGGCTCAAAGAGATGCTCCGTAAACAGGAGGCAGAGGCAAGACTTGAACCAGGAGACCCGGCTCCCAAAGAGCGAGGACAGCGGGTCAGACCACAGCCTCTAGCTGAGTCCTGGCTCTGCCAGCACTCGGTGCCCCGATTCCTTTTCTGTACGAAGTGGGAGAGAGTGGTATGTGCTCTACAAGGTCTGAGGTGGAAACGAGCAAACCCACGTTCGGGACCCCCAGTCAACCCAAACCACATGTTCCTTACAAGCCGGCCTCGCTGGCTGCCAGGCACGGGGGCCCGGGGTCCCCG